TGAGTTGTTCTAATTTTACAGTAATTATAGCGAGAATTATAGTATAGGCGAAACTATAGGTTTTTATTTTACAAGAATGATTTGCATGAAAATCTTTAAAAAATCTTGCTTCCAGTGATGTTAGTGAGTCATGACCAGCTCGCATGACGGCGGGTCATGACGGTCATGACCGTCACGTCACATTCAATGTGACCGTTAGTCATGACCGTTTTACTGCATAGTGTGTAAATGTGCAGTAGTAAAGTAGACTGCATAGTATGCGGTAAAGTAGATTCGGTGTTCAGGTACTCTCAAAAATCCCTTCTCGTTCGGAAATTTCAAAAATGCCTTTTTTTGGAGATAGATGCTCATAGGTGTAATTTTGAATGCGGTGAAGTATCACTTACTGCATTTGTTAGGTAAAAAGCTATTATTTTTGTTTATTTTATTTGTTATTTGTTGAAATTTCTTCTGTTCTGAAATCCTCAATTATTTGTCAAGACTCAATCAATAATTGACTGTCCCTATTTTAAACCCATTTGTGAGTTTAAAGACCATAGACTGTGGGTAGTGGCGTTCTAAATTGAAATAATTACTATGAACTATGACCATGATCATGACCGTCATGACATGTCATGACGCAAATGACCGTCACGATTTTAAATGACCGTCATTTTACATCAGTGCTTGCTTGTTTTGAATCCAATATGTTTGTTCATCAGATAATCAGTAATGAAAACAGTTTTGGTAAATATTTTTCTCATATTTTGATGAATATTTAAATTTATTTTAATTGCTTAACTTCACAAATAAAACTCAAAAATTGGTGCCAGTTTTTCTAAGGTCCATAAAAAATACAAGCCCAATAATAATGTTACACAAATAGATTCCCATACAGAGAAAATTAAGCTAAATTAAATCCCATCAATCCTATTGAATTCTATAGATTAATATTGATTCTTTTTTATATGGTTATTCTATAAATTTCAAGGCATAATAATGTCGATTACTATTTTATGGCAAATTGGTATTAAACTAGATTAACTATAATAGAACTTACTTATATCCTTAAAAGTATAAATTATTAGGTATTGATAGCAAAGGATATTGACCAAATTGATTTTATTCTTGTGGCAAATGAATTGAATTAATTAATGAAGTAAATTAAATCGTTTGTTGCCTGATGCTTTAGACCTTTTTATAACGAAAACTTTTAGCGAGGCTTTTATTATTCATTATACAAGTGATTTCACACTAGACTTTGCGTGTTACACTAGCTCGATAATAATAATTAATTAATCATAAACGCACGCTTGGGGATTGAAAATCCCCGAGCGAACATTTGTTGCAGGTGATTATTTAGAGAAAACGCTATAGATGGCTATAACGACCTCTCGGTGTGTAATAATGGACATTTCACTATTATCTTTGGGTCAGATACCCCAGTGAATAATGCGGCTGCATTAAATTATTTTCACACCTTTTTTTTTCTAAATTTCTGCAATAATTCAGGACAAAATATTACTTATCAAATCAAACATCATTAAGTGATATAGGTAATTTCCTTTTAGAAATTGGCAACTTAAGCCATTGTTTCTTCAATTCTGAAATATATTGTTCAACTCCTCACCCAAAGGAAAAAAATCATTGGATCTTGTTAAATTGAAATTATGAGATCGCAAAGTATACATGCATCTATTTTCTTGCCTGAACTTATTATGCTTTAGATTAGAGTTTTCTGTTCATAAATCAATAGCTGTTTGTTTGTTACGGTATAAAATACATGTCCTGTAATAAGATTTCTTATTGTTTTACGCAGGTCTACCCATAAAATAAACATTAAACTCCATACCTTTGTATAGGAAATTATCAAAATTTCATTAAACAAAACAAAAAAATGATAACAATCTCATTGTCACAACTTAAACAAAATATCGAGACAACAACAAAAATGAAAGGTCAATGTTACCAGCTTAATTGATTTATCAGTTTCGAGATTGATCACCATAAACATAATAACGATCTGTTCTAATAAATTATCTGTTAAAATATTGGCGAGGACATCGCAATTATTGACCATTTTATTTTGCTGATATCTCTCTATTTAGGTGTTGTTTTTATAGGGATTTGTACACTTGAGTTTTCTTCCTAGCGGCGGTTCTATATAGCTAAGGTCAACGCTATAGATGGCGATATATTCCTTCCATTATATTTTTTTTTTGCCTCTGAGATGTTTTAATTAATGCGTTTACGGGTGTTATTAGTCGGGCTCGTTATAAATTTATATCGCCACGGTTTCAAGTATGTGCTCTGTGTCTGAATTGGTATGTAGGTAAGGATTTCCTATTAATTTATCTTAGAAATGTTTCTTTGAATCTGTTGATGTAAATTTCTTTCAAAAACCATCATAATTTGCAATGTGTTGTGATGGCCAATTTTTATTGCATATCTTTTGGCATTCACTTACTCTTCCAATAATGTTCCTGTCCTTACATATTATTATCTCTCCATAGTTTATAAAATAATAAAATCCTTCCTTATTTGATAAATCAATAATAAACACTCTATTAGCAAAAAAGGATATTTGGTCAATAATCCTTCATTTCATCCCGCTATGCATATTAAATGACAAATATCTCCTATAACAAGATGATTAGCTGTTGACATATAAAATTATTATACATTTTTTCGCATACAATTAAGGTCAGTTAACCCATTAAAATATTCTTAATATGTTAGTTATTTTTTATACGACTCAGGTAGGCATGCCGAAGCAAATTTGTAATAAAAATATTTCGCTCCCGATCTTGGCTTTAATGTACTAATAATCTAGTAATCCTAACCTTGTGCAACTAGGAAACGTTGAATAAATAAAGCGTTTTCTATTGAGTAACACATTTTTGGGCGCGCGCTTTGTATAATGTCATTATCATTGATTGTGTTTCTTTTATGGTTTGTGCCATTTACCTAATAATAGTGGCATATCACGATATATCTGTGGCTTTTTTTACTATTTTTAGATGGATATGTATAGAAAACATGCAAAGGAATGGAATATAACAATAAGGATTTGGATGATAAATAAAATTTGGATGACTCTGCATTATTTTGGACTACTTAAATAATTAGTCATTGAATAAACAGATTTCTGCTTGATACTTTGTGTCGAAATTCAAACAGCAATCACGGTTTTGCACATTTTGATCTGATGCACAAAAAAAGTCGAGATTGATAGACTAGATAATGAAAGTGAGATTATTGGAAAAAGCCTCAAGAACTTGACATTGATGGATTTCAAGGATCATGAAAAAATATACTCAATTTTATCTGTGCACTGTTTTATTGCTTTATTGGTACTTTTTTAAGCACAAAGTACACTACAGATTGAACTACATACATATTTTCATTCTCACTATTAGGTAAATGATGGATTTTGTTGCTACCCCTAACAAATATTGCTATGTATTTATGCAGCCAAAATAATCATGTAGTGAATATAGTATTAAAACGATTTCAATACTGCACAAATGAAAAGTGTTATTAGTAATGCTTAATGAGCTCCATGCAATCTGAAACCGACTAGTTTAAATTGAGGAAATGGCAAGTTCATTATTACCGGAAGAAGTTGGGTTACCAACACAAGTACTTATAAAAGCTGAGAAATTGGGTAATAAATTCTAACAAATTTTGATTTGAAATTTTATGAAATACCAATTTACTTACCATTTGAACCAATTTGAATTGCAATTACACGCATTTTTGTATATTACATGGTAAATCCTAGATTCCATTTTAGTATGTACTACAACTTTCAATAACTGATTATGGAATATTTCGAACACTTAGAACAACTTCAATTATCCAGGATTTATTGTTTAGGGTCTTTTCATTGAATGGAAAAAACTGGAAATGATTTTGTGGCTCAGATATGAAATTATAGTTCTCTTTCTACATTAATTTGAATAAAAAAATGGGAAATTCCTTCTGAAATATACTTCTAATGCTCACAGTGACTTCAATCTTTGAAGATTTTTAAGTTAGAGTCCTTTTTTTTTGTAAATAAAGGAAACTTAGTGAATACGAGGCTCAGAAATAGGATTATCATTTTTTTTCCACATAAATTCTGAAAAAAGTAGTAAAACTCTTCTTCAAATCACCATTGACGGCCTCTGGAAAATACTTGAGACACACAAACTTCCAGAAATCATTTGTTACAGTATTTTTACTAGATAAATGAAACTGGAAGTGAATTTGAAGCTCAGAAAGAGTATTGTGATTTTTTTCCATGTTAATTCTAGGATAAAACATCTTCCTTTCCTGAAATTTGCAATACAACGAAGAACATAAATATTCCTTTGACGTCAAGCGATACGCTCTATATTGAAAAAAAGATGAGCCATAGTATAATAAAGCATATTAATACCTATTGCAGCCGGCAAAACCCATTAGAAATTCAACATCCGATTTCCGCAATACGATTTATATCCCTCGGATCAATAAAATCAATATAAAACGTTCCACATTTCCATTTATTCGAAATAAATATTTCTTCGGCTGATATAATCGCTTAAGATTGACCTTACCATAAGTCCATTAAATAAAATTAACAAAGAATCAAGTGTATAAATCTCTATAAAAACAACACTTAAATAGAGAGATAGAAAAACCAGTGCACTTATTAGCCTCAATGTCCTCGCTAATAAAAATGATAATTATTATTATAAACTGGAAGATTTTGCAGTTCTTATCGAGGTTGACCCAATATCAGGATTATTTTTTTGTATTGATGCAACAATGTATTCAGAAGATAAATGTGCAACCAAGTTAAGATTTATACAGTAGTTTATCGAAGTTGTATTGTGCATTGATCTGACCCCATATACAAGGCCTAAATTTTGTATGAATAATTTTTTTCATTGGTTGTACTTGAACAACAAATTTGGCCTCACTTATATCATGGAAAATATTAACAGGGTTTTTAAAAATGAAGCCTAATCAATGATTTTTCTTTTCTTTTTCAGTACCCAATGACGATCCTTCCCTACGACACCACCAGGAAAAAAGACTCGACCTCGACAGCGAATTTCAGTACAGAACGCGAATCCTGCCTGAGGTTTTTCGAGAAATGGAGCGAAACCGATCAGGTCGAGTTTGTCGAGAACCTGCTGTCTCGCATGTGCCACTATCAGCATGGTCACATCAATTCCTATTTGAAGCCAATGCTGCAAAGGAATTTTATTTCTTTATTGCCAAGTAAGTTTGAGTTTTTGGAGAGGGTTTTATAAATGGAATCATCTTAAGAAAATATATAAAAAATAACAACATAAATTTGAAACTGAAAAAATTTTAACATTTCTTGTGTGGGGTTAAACCGAGCAGTAAACTTACAAACTGTCAATAATGTAATATCAAAAGAGAGAATTTTCTATAATATGTGTACATATATGCAAGAATTCAAAAAACTTTCCAATGGACGGAACCTTAGGGTAATTCATAAGAATTTCAGATTCAAATTCCAAGACAAAAATCAAAGAAATTTGAGAATCGTTGATACTAATAATTCCAAGGGGCAAACCAGCTAGGAATTCTTTGCCAAAACTGTGGGGAATTTAGAGAAATTTGTGGGGAATTTGAAGGAACTTATATGAGAATTTGGGAAATTTATAGGGAATTTGGAGAAATTAATGGCGAATTTGGAGGAATTTGTGAGGTATTTATGAGGAATTTAAAGGAAATTGTAGGGTCATGACGTAACTGAGGTTCACATTCTTATTATAAGAAACACTAATAAATGGAAATTCAGTTTATGTAAGTTAATTTCCAAGATTCTTCATGTTGTTATTTTCCGCTGGAAAAATTTGAAATTTTGGAAAAACGAGCCTCTAAACCTTCCTCTTTACACACAAAAAGTTTCAAATTTTTGGCCTCACCATTTTTCCAGGAAAACTTTGTAATGTGTGTGACTGTATTAACAATTATTTCAGTTTTTATAAATTGATTTCCAAGATTTTTCATGTTGTTATTTTCCACCGGAAGATTTGAAACTTCGGGAAAATGAGCCTCCAATCTTCCTCTTTACATACGAAAAGTTTCTAATTTTTCCCTTCACTAGTTTTCCAGGAAAACTTTGAAATGTGTGAGACTGTATTTTCAATTAGTTCAGTTTTTGTAAGTTGTGTCCCAAGATCCTTCATGTTACTATTTTCCACTGGAAAAAATTGAAATTTCGGGAAAATAAGCATCTAACCTTCCTCTTTACATACAAAAAATTTCAAATTTTTCCCTTCACTAGTTTTCCAGGAAAAGTTTGAAATGTGTGAGACTGTATTTTCAATTAGTTCAGTTTCTGTAGGTTGATTTCCAAAATTCTTCATGTTGTTATTTTCCACTGGAAAAAATTGAAATTTCGGGAAAATGAGCTTCTAACGTTCCTCCGCTTTCCTCTTTACATACAAAAAGTTTCAAATTTTTCCCTTCACTAGTTTTCCAGGAATACTTTAAAATGTGTGAGACTGTATTTTCAATTAATTCAGTTATTGGAGGTTGATTTCCGAGATTCTTCATGTTGTTATATTTTACTGGAAAAAATTGAAATTTTGAGATAATGTGTCTTTAACCTTCCTCTTCAGATGCAAAAAGTTTCAAATTTTTCCCTTCAGTTGTTTTCTAGGAAAACCTTGAAATGTGTGAGACTGTATTTTCAATTAGTTCAGTTTTTGTAAGTTGATTTTCAAGATTCTTCATGTTGCTATTTTCCACTGGAAAAAATTGACATTTCGGGAAAATGAGCTTCTACCATTCCTCTGCCTTCCTCTTTACATACAAAAAGTTTCAAATTTTTCCCTTCACTAGTTTTCCAGGAAAACCTTGAAATGTGTGAGACTGTATTTTCAATTAATTCAGTTATTGGAGGTTGATTTCCAAGATTCTTCATGTTATTATATTCCACTGGAAAAAATTGAAATTTTGAGATAATGTGTCTCTAACCTTCCTCTTCAGATGCAAAAAGTTTCAAATTTTTCCCTTCGGTAGTTTTCTAGGAAAACCTTGAAATGTGTGAGACTGTATTTTCAATTAGTTCAGTTTTTGTAAGTTGATTTTCAAGATTCTTCATGTTGCTATTTTCCACTGGAAAAAATTGACATTTCGGGAAAATGAGCTTCTACCATTCCTCCGCCTTCCTCTTTACATACAAAAAGTTTCAAATTTTTCCCTTCAGTAGTTTTCTAGGAAAACTTTGAAATGTGTGAGACCGTATTTTCAATTAGTTCAGTTTTTGTAAGTTGATTTTCAAGATTCTTCATGTTGCTATTTTCCACTGGAAAAAATTGACATTTCGGGAAAATGAGCTTCTGCCCTTCTTCCGCCTTCCTCTTTACATACAAAAAGTTTCAAATTTTTCCCTTCACTAGTTTTCCAGGAATACTTTGAAATGTGTGAGACTGTATTTTCAATTAATTCAGTTATTGGAGGTTGATTTCCAAGATTCTTCATGTTGTTATATTCCACTGGAAAAAATTGAAATTTTGAGATAATGTGTCTCTAACCTTCCTCTTCAGATGCAAAAAGTTTCAAATTTTTCCGTTCAGTAGTTTTCTAGGAAAACTTTGAAATGTGTGAGACTGTATTTTCAATTAGTTCAGTTTTTGTAAGTTGATTTTCAAGATTCTTCATGTTGCTATTTTCCACTGGAAAAAATTGACATTTCGGGAAAATGAGCTTCTACCCTTCTTCCGCCTTCCTCTTTACATACAAAAAGTTTCAAATTTTTCCCTTCACTAGTTTTCCAAGAATACTTTGAAATGTATGAGACTGTATTTTCAATTAATTCAGTTATTGGAGGTTGATTTCCAAGATTCTTCATGTTGTTATATTCCACTGGAAAAAATTGAAATTTTGAGATAATGTGTCTCTAACCATCCTCTTCAGATGCAAAAAGTTTCAAATTTTTCCCTTCAGTAGTTTTCTAGGAAAACCTTGAAATGTGTGAGACTGTATTTTCAATTAGTTCAGTTTTTGTAAGTGGATTTCCAAGATTCTTCATGTTGCTATTTTCTACTAGAAAAAATTGAAATTTCGGGAAAATGAGCCTCTAACCTTTCTTTTTACATACAAAATGTTTCAAATTTTTCCTTTCTCTAGTTTTCCAGGAAAACTTTGAAATGTGTAAGACTATATTTTCAATTAGGTAGTTCAGCTTTTGTAGGTTGATTTCCAAGGTTCTTCATGTTGCTATTTTCCACTGAAAAAAATTGAACTTTCGGGAACATGAGCGTCTAATCTTTTTCTTTACATACAGAAAGTTTCAAATTTTTTCCTTCACTAGTTTTTCAGGAAAACTTTGAAAGGTGTGAGGCTGTATTTTCAATTAGTTCAGTTTTTGTAAGTTGATTTCCAAGATTCTTCATGTTGCTATTATCGAAATTTCGGGTAAATAAGCCTTTAACCTTCGTCTTTACAGCAAAATAAAAATGGAAAAAATAAATTTCTTATCACGAGCAATAATGGGGATTTTCAGGGAATTTGTAAGAGACATTTGTGGGAAATTTGGGAGGAGTTTGGAGGAATTTGCGGGAATTTGGAGGAATTTGCGGGAATTTGGAGGAATTTGCGGGAATTTGGAGGAATTTGCGGGAATTTGGAGGAATTTGCAGGGAATTTAGAGGAATTTCTGGGGTATTTGGAAAAATTTGTGGTGGGTTATTTGGAGGAATTTGTGATGGGGTATCTGGAGGAATTTGTGAGGAATTTCGAGTAATTCCCAGGAATTTTGAGGAATTATGCTTAAAAAATTCGCCATTGAGGAATTGTTTGCACAAATTCTGGGATGGTGGTTTACCCCTTGAATATTTCAATCAAAGCTACAACCAACAATTCGGGATGAGCGGTACACAAAGAGAAGTTCAAAGTAGAATATACACCCTCAAAGTAACAACTGTTCTGAGGGATAATAGACTATTTGCCAATGAACAAAGACAAATAACCTACACTCATCAAACCAAACTTTCTAATATTATTTATTGGTTTCTCTGGTTCAAAATTCCTATTTTCAGAAAGATCCTACAATGTCGGCAAATTACTACAAAATCCTTAAATTCTTGTTGTTCATTTTCATCCATAAATTTTAATCGGAATATGATGTTGAAAGCAAGAAACTCGCAACATCGTAAAATTGAATTGTAAGTAAACTGTATACTGGTTTATGTGTTTACTGGCTACATTTTCCATAGCAATATTAGTATGTATGTATTGGTAATTGCGTAAATTGACAATATAACTAATGGGCAATTGTCGATTTTTTTAAGCTTAAAATTTATGACCAGTGTTTTTTTTATAAGATGTGTTACAAGCGACAAATGAATTTTTCATGAGAAAAAAACAATATTCTAAGTAAAACTGCAATCAATTATACCTGAACCTCTGGACTTAATTTAAAAATATAATACATTTTAATTAATTGGATTTCTTTCTTTACAGAAAAAGGATTGGACCACGTAGCAGAAAATATATTATCTTACTTGGACGCTGAAAGTCTTAAAAACGCCGAATTAGTTTGCAAAGAATGGTTCCGGGTGATATCAGAAGGAATGTTATGGAAGAAACTTATTGAAAGAAAAGTCAGAACGGTATCTCTTTGGAGAGGACTTGCTGAACGTAGAGGCTGGTAAGTAAATCACATTTTCTCTCACATGTACATTGCATTACACATTATTTTTTTTCTAGGATTGAATACTTATTTAAACCTCGTCCAGGCGAAAATCACATGCCGCATAGTTTTTATAGGTCGCTCTATCCAAAAATCATTAGAGACATTGATAGTATCGAAAGTAATTGGCGCAATGGCAAACACATTCTACAGCGGATCAATTGCCGCTCGGAAAACAGTAAAGGGGTCTATTGTTTGCAGTACGACGACCAGAAAATCGTTTCTGGACTGAGAGATAATACTATAAAAATTTGGGACAGGGGTACATTACAGTGTACAAAGGTAAGCAGTAATTAAGTTGTTTCAAATCCTACTTTTACTCGTAACATGATGTAAATTATCTTCAGGATTTTTATTGTATTCAAATTAATCGAGTCTGACGTCACAGACAAAGCGATTTTTAAACTGCAAAATAATTGAATTTCCACGTTTAAGCAGATAATCTGACATATGTGTATGAATTTATGTATGTGGCATACATTATGGGAATGAGGTACGAAATTGATTACCTTCGAACAGAATGTGATTTCCCATAAAGTAAGCTAACACAATGATAATTTATCTGTCTAGTTGTTTATCTGGGATGTAGCTGTCAGGATTTTATGTTCTTTTAATACTAATAATTCCATTTTATCGATAAATCTTGAAGATCAATTTTACTTGTTATAAATGAAAAAGAATATTTTCTGAACATTTTGTTGGTTGTAGGTCCTCATCGGGCACACAGGGTCAGTACTTTGTCTACAATACGACGACAAAGTGATTATAAGTGGCAGTAGTGACAGTACAGTGAGAGTATGGAACGTTCACACTGGTGAAATGGTCAATACGTTGATACATCATTGCGAAGCTGTCTTGCATCTGCGGTTTAATAATGGAATGATGGTGACTTGTTCAAAGGTAAGAATTTTTCTCCCAAGAAAATATAGCTGAGACAAAATAGAAATGAAGCTACTCTAAAAGATTCATTGTTTCAAAGTTCAATGGGGTTTTCTCCCAAAAAATAAATAAAAATAAACATTCAATAATAATTATATTTGAATGGCAGTGACCTCTATCTTTTTATTTCTGTTGGGAAATATGTACCTTTATTCTTATACGGGTGTGTGGCAAATGCCAATCCTTTAAATATTTATTGTTTGATATGGTAAGATATTTTATTTCTGGTTTTACGTTTTTTTTTTTAACAAAATTTAAATTCCTACCTAATTACCTATGCGGTATCTCAATTAAACTGCGTTCCAGAGGATTATTGAAAGAAGGGAGTGTTTTAGTTTGGAAATCTTTGAATTATAATTAAAATTTTGTCCATTTCAAACAAAACGAACGTAGTTTTTTGATTATTCTTCAACACAAGCTATTTTTCAATACTTTCAATTTACGGGAACATACAAGTGACTTTTCAAATGAGACGGTTTGCCAAGAAATGGTCATTATTTTCCATGGATCATTTAAATTTCTTATTAGCTTGCTCATTGTTTATTTTCGTTGATGTTCAAAATGGCCTTTACTTATTTCCATCCAATAATAAAGGCACTTTATAAAATTTTCAGTCATGGTGTTGTGACAATTTTACCAGAGTTGGCAAAAACCCAAGTTTTTGAACATTTCTATTGTGTTTTCGCGGGTTATTGTGATAGTTTTTGTGTTTATTTAACTAGACAAAATTGATTATTTGTTTCAACAGTTTTGCACCTGAGAAGCTTCAAAATTGAATTTATCGAACATTGAAAATTTTCCAAACATGACACTGAGACCGTTTTTGTCTCACAGCTCCGTTAATTTTCATCCAATTTCAACGCAATTAAGTTTTAATCAAAGCCAATTAAATTCTCTACAAACCTATTAGTAAGGATTTTAATTTGGTTTCAAGAGTTTTGTACCTGAGAAGCTTCATAATTCAATTTATCGAACAAATACATACAAATGGCTGCAAAAAGGAGAACTTTTTCCCAAAACAGAAGGTTTTGTTCTTCTATCCAAGACAAAGTGATTGCGACGAAAAGCTACCAACGACATATAATAAAAACATAAACCAATGATGACACATGCAGAAAATGCCATATACAGCAAGAAATTATAGAACACATAACAGGAGAGTGCAAAATTCTAGCAGGCACTGCATATACAGAACGGCATAATATAGCATGCAAAAAAATACACCATGCTATAGCCTTAAAATATAACACCATAGAAGAAAACAAAGCGTATTATGACTATACAGCTGAAAACCAAAGCTGCAAACTATATTACGATCTTACAATTCACACAGATAAAACAATCTCTGCTTATAGGCCACACATAACATTTTATAGATAAAACTAAAAAAAATAACCTATCTCATTGACATATCCATACCGATCATATATACATCATTCCATTCATAATTTCTGCCACAGGGATCACCCATATAAAATTTATGTAACATCTTAGGATCTTAGCCTAAACAAGTTCATACATCATCAAATTCAGAAGGTGGTTATTCTTAAAACATGCAACATTGTGAGATTATTCTTGAGGCAATAGTACTCTCTGTTCAAACTTGGTATTTTGTACCTGGTGGAACAGAAAATAACCGGATATAAAGAGCCGATTAATAAAACAAATAATAATAATCATCCTGTCACCAGAAAGAAAAACAGAAACAATCAAGAACGCAATCCCTGTAATGAACTATCATCGAAAAAACGAATCTACGCCAAGATAGCTGAACTAAGGCTAGAACTATCACTCTTGAACGAGATCAAAAAGACAGAACTGAGTAAACGAATGCAGGTTATAAAAACAAAACTATTCAAGAAATATGGACTAAAACATGAAAGAAATAAGACAAAAATCACTGAAAAAATCAAGCAGCAAATATTGGCAAAAACAAGCAGAGTTAGAAGATATGAAAAACGAACCAAGCAATAACAGCAACATAAAATGTATACGGAAAACACCTCCAGATTTTATAAAAGCGTTTCGAACAAAATCATTGATCGGTCAAATAAATCGCCGACAAAGACTGATATTAGGCATTACTGGAACAGCATCTGGGGAGAAGAGAAAACACACATAAATGAAAATGCCACCTGGATCAAAGAAGAACATCAAACCAACAGTCAGGCCAAAGAAATGCAATGGGAAAAATTAACTGCAAAAGAACTAGAAACAATGCTGACGAAAGCGGCTAACTCAAAAGCTCCTGGTATCGATGGCATGACCAACTTCTGGCTAAAAAGAATAAACTCTACCCATAAGAAAATCGTATCCTGCTTCGAAAGCATGATTACAGGAGTGGCGGAAACATCTGGATCGTTCGCTCGAGGAAAAACATACTTATACATACCAAAAAACGAGAAAGCGGACAATGCAAGCAACTATCGACCGGCCTATCACCTGCCTCAGCACTATGTATAAAGTAATGAATAGCATCATAACAGAAAGAACTGTATACACATCTGATTGAAAGCAATCTATTTCCAGCAGAACAAAAAGGTTGCACCAAATACACATATCAGCAAGATGATAAGCGAAGACTGTCGAGAGCGTCGCAGAAACTGCCTATATCGAAAAACTGATGACACAATGGAAAGTCGACCTCTATCTTACCACAGTCTCTGAAACCATATGTGTCAAAGAGATCAAAATCAAAGGTGGGATATACCAGGAAGACTCGCTGTCACTGCTGCTTTTTGTCCTCGCACTGTTCCCAATCACCTGACTTCTTGATAAATTAAACATTGAATACCAATGCAAGCACGAAATAAGTAAAATCAGTCGTCTTCTATATGTAGATGACTTGAAACTGATATCGGGAGATAGGTTGAACTTGAAAAGCAGCTAGAAATAGTAGAAGTATGATATATGTATGGAATTTGGGCTCGATAAGTGCGCCAAAAAAAACAATAAAAAAAGGTAAAACATCAGAAAGAAATAACAAAACTGGTCGAAAAGAGAGAGAGGCCATTCGATCTCTTGAAGAGCATGAAATATATAAATACCTAGGTTTAGACGAAAATTATAATATTAGCCATAAGAGAATGAAAAAAAAACTTGCCCAAGAAAACCTGAGAAGAACAAGAGCAATCCTCAAAACTGAGCTCACTGCCAAAAATAAGCTGTCAGCCATCACAACACTAGAAGTTCCAGTGTTACAATACAGTTTTGGAATAATCAATTGAACTTTGGCAGAAATCAGTGCAATAGACAGAAAAACTAGAAAACAGCTCATGATGCACTGCATCCGAGATCAGGGCCGGTATTCTTGTTCTCAAAAACGCTCACTGCTTTTCAGTCGCTCGGCACTTCTAATGTAAATTTACATTACGAGCGACTGAAAAGCGGTGAGCGTTTTCGAGAACCAGAATACCGGCCCAGATGTGGATAGACTATATGTTCCAAGGCGAGATGGCGGTAGAGGACTCACAAATATAGAGGTTGGCCACAAGATTGTAACACAGGGGCTCACACATTACTTAGAATTGAAACAACAGGATAAATATAGAATGACACAAAACTCAATTATATACCGCAGTATAAAAATTTATAATAAGCTCCCTGCTGATCTTAAAAACATTCAGTCGGAAAAATCATTTAGGGCAAAGGTCAAAGCATTGGGTCAAAGAGATGCTCCTGAGAAAGGCTTATTATAATCTGTCAGAGTTTTTTGACGATGATTATTTGTAGATGCTGTTTTACATATCGTCGTTAATTTCACAAAGTGACGTATCTCAAATCAGGGTTTTATTTGAGATACGCCACTTTGTGAAATTAACGACGATATTTGATGTTTACTGTTTTACCTGTAGTTTTTTATTTTTATGTTTTTTTTTTACCATCTACTTTTGCTATTTGTTATATTTGGCTGCACTATTTGCATATAAACAACTTTGTACCTTCCTCATGTAAACTTTTAAAATTTCATGTTGCTTTTATTTATTTTCTGTTAGTTTGTTCAAGCTTTGAGTTTGTTTTTAATTGTCTTTTTGCGCCGATTGTTAATTGTTTTTGGCTACTTAGTTTGTTATTTTGTTATTTTCTTTACTGTTCATTTTAGTTTCTAACTTAGGCTTAAGATTTAGGTACTATTAAGATTTATTATAAGTACTGCTTTGTCTATGGAACTAACTGTTTTTATCTGAGAATAAAGCATATTTGATTTGATTTGATTTTTTGAATACCTCGGGATGGTTTACAGACCAAATATAAGGAAGGAACAAGAACACACAACTACAACAAGTAACACTTCTGGTACACCAAGAACACCCGGCGCACGTAGGACGTCTAAAACCAAGAAAGTGAAAAAGATCAAAGCTGAAATCAAAGAGAGGAAGAAACAAGAAACAATACACAGATGGAAAGAAAAGAAGACGCATGGCCAATTACTCAGGGAATCAGAAAAAGAAACCATAAGTAAAACAAACTCCTGGATGTCGCTACTTATCACTGCCTGTCAAGAGCAGTCGATAGCAACCACGTATCTCAAAACCAAAATACTGAAGATTGGCACAGACCAAAATTGTAGACTGTGCCGGACAGAAAGCGAGACCATCCATCACATAGTCTCAGGTTGCTCGATTCTGGCTATGAATGAATATTTACAACGCCACAAAATGCAGCCCACCTACACTGGAATATATGTAAGGAGTATGGAATCAGGAACCGGACCTTGTCTTGAAAGACAAAGTTAAAAAGCAGTGCCTGTTGCTAGACGTCTTTATCCCGTCATATTATAACATCGCCCAGAAAGAGGCAGGTAAGCGACTGAAATACAAATATCTACAACTGGAAATCGAGAGAATGTGGGGCATGAAGACAAGAGTTATCCCAGTGGTCATAGGAGCGACAGGTCTCATATCCCATTATACAAATACAATCATGAAAGAGATCCTGGGAAGCCACTATCTCAGCCTACAGAAAACTGTCCTGGTGCTGGAAACAGCCTATATTATACGAAGGGTGTTGTTGAAACATCAATATAAAATGTTCACCACAGGTGCACGGTGTTCACTCGGTGAGCTTCATGCTCTAGGTGCCATAAGAAGCAACTTATGTGAAACACCGCAAATAATATTAATAATAACAACAACAAAAGAGAAATCATCGGGAAAGAATAGAAGACACCAATCCCGCAATCCGCAGTACCTGCAACAAAAAGGGTGAAAATAATAAAAGAACGGCTGAAGGAACACATGCAACAGGAACAACTTACAAAATGGAAAGAGAAAGCGATGCACGGACAGATAGCATTAGAAGCTGAAAAAGAAACCGTAAATAAAAACCAATCATGGAAATGGCTGAAAACCGCAAACCTGAAAAGCGAAACAGAAGCGCTCATCACTGCCTGCCAGGAGCAAGCACTTGCGACAAACTATATGCAAGTTACAATTCTGCTTACCTGGAGCGGCACAACTTTGTAGCAGCACATCTGCACTACAACATAGGTAAAAAAAAAAAACAATGTAACAGTTGGAGAAAAGTGGTTTGAGTATGCTGCAGAATCAGTTGTTAACCCGCAGGATGTCACCATTATCTGGGACACACAGGTACAAACTGACCAATTCATCAAAGCCAATAAGCCGGATAAAATAATTAAAGACAAGAAGCCATGAACATGTCAGATGATAGATGTTGCGATATCATCAGACTACAATATAACACAAAAAGAAACTAAAAAATATTTCAAATATAAAGACCTCGAAAGACTGTGGAACACGAAAACTAACATAATACCCATAGTAATTAGAGCCACAGGATTAGTCTCATACAGAACATGTGAAGCCATCCAGCAGATCCCCGGAGAACACAATCTACTATCCCTCCAAAAAACTGTTGTGCTGAGCACCGCACGCATAATCCGCAAAGTGCTGTAGACGAAGGAGCACGGTGTGCACTTGGTGTCCCTCTCAAAGAACCACAGAACCACCATGTGTGATAACGGAAAATAATAATAGTAATAATATCTGGCCGATGAAGCAATGTATCCAGCAATGTATTTATTGTTACCGAATGCGTAGACGGTAGAGCCAGGGACGCCGACTGACTGCCGCCTCCACATACCACATCTAAGTCGTCCTGAGGTAATTACAGTTACACTTTTCCTCAACGCCCTTGAAACGAGTAACAAAACACCCATGAAAATGGAGAAAGAAAAAAGCCTCGGAAATAATCGTTGCCTGGGGATCGCCAGGGCGGGTTTGGAGCCGATGCTGAACTCGACAGTATGCGGGACGTTAGTGGCAGGAAGCTGAACAGGTGGGCTTCTGTCCTCCAAGAACCTACAGCAGACTATAATCCTAAAGATAACTCTACCCAGCACCATGAAAACACTATTTTCCTTAAACTGGATATTGTTGGGGATGGAAGTTGTTTGTTTAGAGCATTGAGTCAGTATCTTTATGTCATCAAGATAAACACAAAGAACTAAGAATAGATAATCTGAGTTATATTAATCAACACTGGGAGGAAATTGAGGAAATTTAAGAAATCCCATTCCAAATCTAATATTTAAACCAAAAAAAAAGCCTCGGAAATAATCGTTGCCTGGGGATCGCCAGGGCGGGTTTGGAGCCGATGCTGAACTCGACAGTATGCGGGACGTCAGTGGCAGGAACCTGAACAGGTGGGCTTCTGTCCTCCAAGAACCTACAGCAGACTATAATCCTAAAGATAACTCTACCCAGCACCATGAAAACACTATTTTCCTTAAACTGGATATTGTTGGGGATGGAAGTTGTTTGTTTAGAGCATTGAGTCAGTATCTTTATGTCATCAAGATAAACACAAAGAACTAAGAATAGATAATCTGAGTTATATTAATCAACACTGGGAGGAAATTGAGGAAATTTAAGAAATCCCATTCCAAATCTAATATTTAAACCAAATACATCAAAAATAATCAGCACAACAAACAATCTAATCCATAAGTACCTAACACCCAAGGGCACATTAGCAGACATTCACACAATTATATACGCAGTAGCAGTAGGACATAGGACATAATGACGCAACATCTGAACGGCAAAAAATCTAAGAAGATAAAAATATCGATCACAAAACTGCTGAAAAACTATAACACAAAGTCTGAGCTTGAGATCCTTGACACCATGAAACAAAAGCGTGCCGTCTATGCTGGTAGATTACGTAAATATAATGAATCTGCTTATTATATCTACGTAATCTACCACCGTAGACAGCACGCTTTTGTTTCATGGCGTCAAGGATCTCAAGCTCAGACTTTGTGTTATTGTTTTTCAGCATTTTTGTGATCGATATTTTTATCTTTTTGGATTTGTTGCCGTTCAGATGTTGCGTCATTATGTCTTATGGAAGAAAATATACAAATCTGGCCTTTAACCGAAACGTTTTTTTTTTTTATAAATCTCTGCTATCACAAGAAAGTGTTCCTACAGCTGAAATACCCTCTAAACAGGAACTTACAGAATTCTGGTCAAATATCTGATCAAAACTATTAACATAATAAGAGTAAAATAGAAACGGAAAGACACTATAACATGCAAGTACAATCGGATCCATCGCATGACACAAGAAGAACTTTCAGAGGCCATCAAACATACACAAAACTGGAAATGCCCAAGAGCGAATAAGATACAAAATTTCCGGTACAAACGGTTCTCATCCACTAATGAAATACTTACAAGGGAAATAAACAATTGTATCCGTGACCGTGACCCATACATATTTCCTAAATTTCTGACAAAAGGTAATATTATGTTAAACCAAAAAACGCAGACACAAAGAATCCAGCTAACTATAGACCAATACCATGCCTACCCACATTATATGAAATAATAATGGGCATTTTCCAGGGCGACCCGTTAAGCACCTTATGGTTCTGCATGTGCCCAAATCTACTCTCAAACGTACTAAATTACTCTAAATATGGATCAATATGAACCATCAAAAAAAAGTCGACATAAAATAAATCACCTTTGGTATATGGACGATATTTAAATCTACCCATCAACAAGAACCAGGGCGATATTCGTCATATCCACCACAGGCATTACACCTGACATGTTCAATACGCAACTTAAGCAGCTCGGGTTCAACTCACACATCCACACAAATATTCAAGTCTGTCATCCTCAAAACATGTAATATAGTCAGATCATTCCCTAATTCCAGCATTAGACTATGAAATAGCTTGGCACAGCCCCTTATCTCGGAGAAGTACCACCACTTTTCGAAAAAGTGAGAAAATTTTTCGTAATTAATAATACTAATAATAATAATTCTTTTTTTAATTACGTTACTGTTAGTAGTTATCTTGAGAAAAGTTCTCTCTGATTTTTAGAATCAGGATCAGAAAAAGCTGTATTATCAAAGATGGGAATCTCATTGATATACTTACATACTTTTGTATGTAAGAATTGTTTGATTAATACCTACTAGTTGACTATTTTTCCTTAGGATTTTTATTTTGTTTAATACAGACAAGAAAAATGCGAATAATCTTAAATTTTACATTGATATTTGGCACTATGGTAGGAGTTCTGTATGAGTAGGTTTTTGTCAATATTGATGGTGAGTTCTTGTGTTGGGTTTTTGTGTATGCCAACCCAGCAATTTTGCAAAATTTAGTTCAAAAGATCCTTGTTGATAAAAAGTACTAATTTCACAATTATTCTTTCAGGATCGTTCTATCGCTGTATGGGACATGGTTTCACAATCAGAAATCACACTCAGAAGAGTTTTAGTGGGACATCGAGCTGCCGTAAACGTTGTGGACTTCGACGAAAAATACATTGTTTCTGCAAGTGGAGATCGTACCATAAAAGTAAACCTTTAAATTGAACCTATAAAAATATTTAAAAATAACTTTTCAGGTTTGGAATACATCGACTTGTGAATTTGTACGTACACTAAATGGACACAAAAGAGGCATCGCCTGTTTGCAATATAGAGATAGATTAGTTGTTAGCGGTAGCTCGGATAATACAATTAGGTTATGGGACATCGAATGCGGTGCCTGTTTGCGAGTACTTGAAGGCCACGAAGAACTAGTTAGGTGTATAAGATTTGACAGTAAAAGAATAGTCAGTGGTGCTTATGATGGGAAAATAAAAGTGTGGGATCTGCTGGCCGCGTTGGATCCTAGATCGTCAACAAGTTCATTGTGCTTACGAACACTGGTGGTGAGAGTTGTTTTTATTTAAAGGCTTATTGGTAATTATTTTCGATTTGTAAATATTGCAGGAGCACAGTGGGCGCGTCTTCAGATTACAGTTCGACGAGTTCCAAATAGTGAGCAGTTCGCACGACGACACGATTCTCATTTGGGATTTTTTGAACTCTATTCCTGAGCCATCGGTGAGCAGCGTGACTATGAATAACGCCGGCTGTGGTACTTCGCCTTCTTCACGTACGTAATTCAAATTTAAACCAGAGTTTTACATGATTCAATACTGTTGCAGTTAGTTGCTGCAAGTGCAAGACTGACGCTGCATGAAATGAACTTTTGTATGTGGCAAATTTTATGTTAATTAGCGACTAAATAAATAAAGCAAAATATTTAAAACTTTGTGCAGCTGTTTCAATTCAAAATTGTGTTACTGAATAATAGAATTGACGAGAATTTTTCTTTTAGCTGTTTGGAGTGAATAACACATGGACTAAACTGGTTGTGCAAGAAGCTGTAAATTAATGGTCTGCGTCCTGATGTATGAGTCGCGAGATGACGCATATGTGTGGCTGCGTAACTGACATAAGTTTAAGTGAAAAAAAAAAAGTTGATCTGGGTTAATTTATTGTTAGGCTCCAAATTACTTCAACCAAGGACTTTTTCATCTGCTGGACAAAAGCTTATATGGAAAAAAATTATAATTGTTAACTAGTGTGTGCAGTTTATAGTAATTGTATATTGTAAGAGGGGCGGTTATGTTTGCGTTATTCCATGACAAAATATTATATTTTGGGAACGAAAGCGATTTTTTTAATTATTGTTGTGTGAAGAAATGCAACATTAGTGATTATTCAATATACATATATTTTTTGCTATTTAATCATTCATTTTTTTTTCTTTATACGTAAGATAATGATGATTCTGAGTGTTAGGCAAGGATACGGATTTGTGGGTTTTAAGGAAAGGTAGAAATTTAATGAAAAAAAAATATCATTTGGCAGCTTATGGGTCTTTCCTTGAGCCTTTTATACTGAAAACTATGATCTCTTGAAGCACACGGTGCTGGACAAAAGACGTATTTTATTTTTTGTCTCTAGCTTAATGTGCAATAAATGTATTTTTTTTTTGAGTGGGGATTTTTGCCTAACATTATACAGTTTATTTCAACAAAAAAAATCACACATTGGTTTGTGATTGTTTTAGAAACGGACTAATATACTCGTTTAAGGCTTGCAAGCTTTTGTATATTGATGAAATACAATAAACTGGTTCCTATTTTGAAATATTCGCTTGGAAAAACTTGTTTTATTCAATAGAGGAAAGCTTGTGAGTGAAATCTTGTCCTTTACAATTAGTGTGTGGTTTGTAAGTGTAGATGTCGCTGACTGGCATTGCATCTTAGACTTAGGCAAAAAGACAACTTTTTTGTTCACATGGTTTGAAAGCTTGGCAAATATCAACAATTTTGACGCATTTTTATTTAATCGGTGGTATAGTTGATAAAATTTGAAAAACTAATTTTTGAATAGTAGAAGCCTTTATTTAGAAAAAACTATTTCGCACTTTTTTTTAAGTTTATCCATTCTTCACTGAAGGCCCAGCCTCAATCAATCTGGTAGCGAAGTGACACTTTGGCACGCATGGTAGGACAATGTTGTTTAACGTTGGTATTCTCAATTCAATTCCGTACTAGCATGCACGCGGACTCCGAAGTGACTTGTGTCATGCGCAGTATGGTAAAAATGTATAAAATAAAATTCAGCATTGAGGATGGGTATCACAATTTCCTAGCTTGTGTGCAGAAGTGCCACTTCGCTACCAGATTGATTGAGGATGTAGCTTCACTCTACAGTCAGTTGTGTCTCAGAAATTCATGTTTGTGAGAAGTTATTAGAGTCTTAGTGAAAAGCTTTTCATCATAGAATATAAAAACAGTATTTATAGAGAAACTCTTGAATATTTTCGGGCAACGATCTTGCCGAACTGAGAAACCGAGTTTTTGCCAAAAAAAAAAATTAAAAAATACATAATGTACTTTTCAAACGAAAAACCTTATCTATATATCAAAGTGCTTTTGTGATAAATTTAAGAGTAAATTATTATAAAGGTAATTGATTTTCTATTTTCACCAAGTAAAATGAAAATAATTGCAACGGGATGTTTTTGGGTTTGTTCCAACCCGTCAAAAAACCGTCCCAGAACGGTTTCGGAACCACTCTGTATACGAATTTTGGTTTCTACACAAAAATTTTAGGTTTTGCGCAAGATCCTGACAGTAACATTACGGTTTCCTGTTGGGTTGGAGCAAAGCTTTTATAATTATTAAAAAAAATCCTGTTGTAATTATTATTTTATATTATTTCGATACAGGTTGGTTAAAAAATTATTTGTAAGAAAATTCTCGATTTGATATGCTGCAAATTATTCATCTCTACATTTTGCAATGTATTTTTTTTTTAAATAATAATTATCACTTGTTTCTGACTGAATCATAAACCAGAGCGACTTGGTGGAACTCGGCCAGGTTTATAATTTTGGCAGAAACAAATCAGTTTTTTATTTAGTATAATTTATTTATTTTAGGGTTTTTATCAATTTTCTAACCAACCAATAGCTGTAGGCTTTATGCGTGACTGTCCTTTAGATTTATGTTTAAATACTTAATTGTAAAATTCCGGAAGTTGTAAATATTATTCTCTATTAAGTGATTAGTTGTTTAATATATTTGTTTGCATTTAATTTAATGCTGTTTTATTTTTGCGCCTTTCATATAATCTTCTGCAAAAAAACCACTAGATGAATGTCAACTCTAAGAACAGGGAGCAGAGTTTAGAATTTTTTTGTTAAAAAATAAAAGAAATACTAGATTGTAGATTGCATTTGGAGTCGTTACAGCTCGAAATATTGGTCTACTTTGGCACTCGAGTTTTATAGGATTGAAGGATGCGTAAGTGGCCATTCAGATCACTAGGTTTAAATATTTTGGAATAGCCTAAAGGTATCTATTCTTGCCGATTTGTCATAAACGAGGGGATTAAAATATGAAGTGTGTTATATCATTGTAATCGGAATAAGATATTCTATCAAACACATATATAATATACAGGGTTTTCCATTGGAAAAAATATAATGTAGGCTCCTATGTCAGAAAATTGATAGTGTTTTGTTTTAAAGGTAACTTGAAAAAAAACTTGGTTACTAGCCCTAGATTTTGTTTTTTTGTTTACCTTGACATCTTCAAAAACCAAAAAGTTACAGCGAATTAAAATGTCATCAAGATAAATTGAACGCACGGTACAGAGAACCAAAAATCAATTCTCAACAAAAGCCAACTAATCAATATCAATGTCATTCTAAACAAACTCTTACAAATCAATCAAGACCCCTACTTAAATCAACCCTTCATCAAATCACACGGGTAATTTTCCAAACAGCCAAACCAATCATTTTTCATACCACAAGCTCAAAACTCAGCTCAGAAAAATTTTCAATATTCAAAACCACAGCAGCAATACCTACAACCAATGTCAGGTGTGAGTATTCAACCACGAAAACCTGTCAGCCAAGTAAGACAACATCAACCTTACTTCAAATCCACAGGAAAACCCAATTACACATTTCAGGAATTAACAAATTTTGAAAATGAATCTCAATTAAAATAACCCAGAATCTGAATACAATTTTTACCAAAATAATGACAATTTCGAAGATCAAACATCTTTTGAAAAAAAAATCTTGTAGAACAAGGAAGCCTTGGACAAAGTAAACTCTACATAAATCTAAATAGTTTTCAAATTAATCAATTGCCATTCATAGAAATTCCCAATTACAATATACGATTATTAATAGATACAGGATCACATGCATCATTGCTTAGACCAGACCATCTTTAGCTGAACCATATTTTCCAGAATCAATCAAACCGTATGTTAATACACCTCAAACATGCGCTGGTTCAAAAAAAGCTACCTACTATTGTTCGTCGATTTTAATATACTCGGACGGAATGTGAGCTGGTGGCTCCCTACATTAAAACGCCAATGGTTACCTGACGTCACACCTGTTTTTCCCATATGAAACAACCCCTCGTTCTTCATACCGCAAGTATCAGTTAAAAATCGACGAACAATAGTAAAGCAAACATTCCACTATTTTTTTGTTTCCGAATATTTGAACCAATTGAATTCATTCTATATCCTTTTCATGATTATTTCGACGGAATTTTAGGGATAGAAAATCTTTGTAAATTAAACCTAAATATCGACATTAATAATCAACTTCTTAAAAATCACTATTTGGAAATTCCATTCCAATATAGACAAAACTTCGACGAATATGCAATTGAAATTCCACCAAAAACTATTCAAAAGTCCACATTCAAAACAAATCTACCAAACAATACCTCATGGATAATGCCATATTTCCGTCATGATGATATTGAAATTCAATCAACATAAGTGACTATAATTAACAAACCTCTAGAACCAATTGAACTTAATAATTTTGGAATATTTAACTTTAATCTCGATTTTGACATAAATAACGACAAAATAATTGAAAGAGTAAACACGTTTGATTTAAAATCTTTAAGACACGATCATTTAAATCAAGAAGAACGTGAACAACTTTTCAAACTGCTTAGAAAATTTGGCAATGCTTTACATAAACCTGGAGATCAATTAACATTCTCAAATCAAGTCGAACATGTAATAACTACAACGGACGAAATCCCAACACATATCTACAAAAATTATAGATACCTACCCTTACATTCACAAAGACGAAGTAAATAAGCAAATACACCAAATGCTTCGAGATGGAATCATCCAACTATCCTGTTTTCCTTGGAGTTCCCCTATATGGATTGTTTCTAAGAAAACAGATGCGTCAGGACAAAAGAAATAGACATTAGTAATTGATTACAGCAAGTTGAATGAAAAAAACCATAAGTGATAAATATCCAATACCAAATATCGCAGTGGTAAAATATTAACAACTAGGACATTGTTAATATTTTACAACCTTGGATTCAGCCAGTGGGTTTCACCAGATTGAAATAGACCCAAAAAGTATTCCTAAAACAGCATTCAATGTAGACATTACGAATACACACGTATGCCCTTCGGATTAAAAAATGCTCCTGCTACATTCTAGCAAGCAATGGATGATGTTTTACGAGGATTACCTACTAGGAAAAGTCTGTCTAGTATATAATATGGATGATATCATTATCTATTCGACCAGCCTTCAAGAACACATAAACTCCTTAAAACAAGTAGGTATTCGAACGATTAATGTCTCTGTCTCTCAATATGAAAATAAAATTAGACAAATCTGAATTTTTACAGAAAAGTGTCGAATTTCTAGGACACACCCATAACTCCAGAAGGTGTTAAACCAAACCCTCGAAAAATAGAGGCAATCGAAAATTCTAGAATACCCAAAACCCCGAAAGAAATTAAATCATTTCTTGACCTCGTAGGTTATTATAGGAAATGTACAAAGAATTTTGAAAAAATTATAAAACCTTTAACAAATTGTTTAAACAAAAATGTCGGAGTAATTCATGACAAAGCATTCATCACAGCTTTCAACCTCTGTAAAGACCTTTCAACCAATGACCCAATACTTCAATTTCCCGATTTTGAAAAACCTTTTCTATTAACAACTGATGCTTCAGAGTACGCATTTGGTGCAGGACCTACTTTCGCAAGGACCAATTTGATCGGATTTACCTATATTGCTTATAGCAGTAGAACTCTAAACTCAGCCGAGTACAATTACTCAACAATCGAGAGGAATTATATTTATTTGGCCGAAAGTTTACAACAGTGATTGACCATAAACCATTACAATGGCTCTTTTCTATCAAAGACCCTAGTTCAAAATTAGTATTGTCCGTCGTTTTTAATCTGACACTTTCCGTATGAGGAGCGAGGGCGTGAAGCATATGGCAAAAACAGGTGTGACGTCAGGTGACCATTGGCGTTTTAACGTAGAGAGCCACCAGGCTCACATTCCTTTCGAGTATCAGATTAAAATCGACGTACTTTAAGATGGAGATTAAAACTATACAGTATAAGAGAGGAACGCAGAATGTTAATGCAGCCAGAAGCAAAAAAGAAAAGTCCCAACATAAAAATTATAACTAAATGCTTCTATCAGGTGAGGGTCAATGGTTTTTTGTCCGATAAACGTCCGGTTATGAGTGGGGTCCCTCAAGGGTCTGTTTTAGGACCATTACTGTTTCTGTTTTTTTGTTAGCGATTTGTCATGGAACATTAAGGCAAACATCATTTTCTTTGCTGATGATACCAAGGTGTTCTGTAAGGTGTTCTGGGATCTTAGGCGAATTGAAATATGGACGGACAAGTGGTGCATGAGGCTCAATACATTAAAATGTACAATACTGCATATTGGTCCGAATAATCCACATGAAGCATACTTCCTAAATAATGTTCAGCTCACTAGCGTTGCTGAGCAAACGGATCTGGGCGTGTTGATTTCTTATGATTTAAAATGGGAGCCCCATATATTTAGGATAGTGAAAAAGGCCAATAGTTTTATTTTCATGGTGCAAAAGACTTTCAAAGATAACTCTCTTCAGATCGTGAGGAAGTTGAGTACGTCTCCTATATCAGACCGAAAATCGAGTATGCTTATAGTATTTGGAACCCCTACTACATCAAAGACATAGAAATTTTGGAAAGGGTTCAAAGGCGGGTTACCAGAATTCCATTCGAGTTGAGAGGACTAACCTATCCTGAAAGACTGGAAATATTTGGGCTAACTACTTTGAAGCAAAGAAGAACTAGGGGTGATCTGATAGAAACCTTTAAGATTCTGTCAGGCTACTATTCTTGTGGCTTGGGAACTTTGTTTCATTTCAATCGGAACCAGCAGCTGCGCGGACACTCAAAAAAATTAAGCAAGGAAAGATCAGCATCACTTCCAAGAAAGAATTTCCTCACCAATCGGATTGTGTATATGTGGAACTTACATGAAGAAAGTACAGTATCCGCAAACAGTGTAAACTCTTTAAAAAACTGTGTTAACCGTTATTTAGAGCAAACAGCCCAGAATTTTGTACATTACGGTGCCTGAAAGTGTTCACTCAATTTTTGTTTTTTTTTTTCGAAATGTATTCGGACCTATGAGGTATCCACCATAACAATGTGCTCCATAATCACGACGAACAATCATATTAAGTATAGAGACTAGAACAATAGCTCCATCGGATTTTCCGCTTGCTATTGATGAACAATAATAATAATAATAATAATAATAATAATAAAAATAATAATAATAATTGTACCCATTAAACTGAAACCAATTAAAAAACGAATTGACCAAAAACAACCATCATCAGTTTTAAAAAAGAAGTCACCTCAATCATCAGCAACTGATGAAAGAATACTTAAGGAAATAACGCCTAATAAAATAACGCCAAATGAAAAAACATAAAATAAAAGAACAATATCAGTAACAGTACACAATTCTGAGAGATACAGCAAACACCTCAGAAACAGAAACAGATCATACTTCTTAGTCCAAGCAATGAAGGAAGTTTACCTAAACATAATTAGAAGTTAACAATTTTTGGGGGGGAACGGTCAATTTTCATGTGCCTAATAACATATTAAGTTTGCGACCTTGTACTTGCATAGGGTTTTCAGTTAGGGGTGGTTTTTAGGGGTAATTTGCAGTTTATGGAGAACGCTGCTCAAAAGGATGGTCCA